TGAAAAAATATAATATGAATATGAAGAAAAAAATATCCCCTTAGAAACATTTATATGTCGTCGAGAATAACCAACTTACCAATTACAAGATAATTTATTTGCTCGTAACTTCACGAGAAATGGTTCATTTACGAACAAGAACCTTGCAGGATGGATTGCTAAAGAGCATAACGACACACACGGGGGAGAGCTAACGTTTCGAGCGATACGGCCTGTACCAAAAACGTGATCAACGAGCGAACATAATTCGTACAACCTCAGACTAATGGCCATCTGTTCCCGCGGTTCAAGTAATTACAGCGGTAAAGCGCGGTTCTTAATTCCAGCGATTAATCCACATTTCACGCGGCACATTCGGAATGATTTAAGAAATTTCACGACGGGACGACCGCGCGATAATAACGCGCGTGATACGTAACGTTTAATTTGCCCCGAGCGCGAGCGCGGAGCACGCATCGCGCTATTACACCCGGAAGAGCGGGCGATGTTGAGAATGATAACTAATTCGCGCCACGTAATCTCGAAGAAAAACACCATTCCCGTTATGCGCCGCGTCGTAGCCGGCGCACATCGAGTAATACGCGCATTATACGCGCCGAGGACTGCACATTTCGCGTCACCTTTCGCGCCGGCAGCCCTGCGAAACGCGCCGTTATTAACGCTCTTCGGATCGCCGAAACTCGACTCAGGGCTCCCCCGAGATCAATAGTCGCGGTGCAGCGTTTACGCGTTATCGAATTTCATTGGACAAATTGTAGAACGACGTGCCCGCTCACGACTCGCAAAATAAATTGCGGGCGTTCGTATGAACAAAAAAAATCTATTAATACATTAGGTACGTTGAGAAACACCGCCGTTGCTCATGCTCCAAACACTTTGGAAAGAAAAATGTTTATCTTCAAAGCCCAGCGGGAATAGATATGCAGGTTTCCAACTTCGGCCATCTGGGTACAAAGTTCCGTCGCTTTTCCAGAGTTGAGAGTTGAAAATTCGCTATCGCTATTGAATGCCATGAATAAAACCCTATTTACGTCTAAGTTTCTAGCTGCGCGGTTAGAGTGAAATTTATTCATTAATAAGATCGCGCGTTTTCAATAAAATTCACGTCGATTCTCCCCCCCCCCCTCCGCCCTAGAGTTTCTCTTACATTCTTTTCCCGTAAAGTTAATATCGCGTCGTTCTTTCTACCTCCGCGGATTAATCGGGGAGAGGAACGTTGACCCAAGGGCTAGTTTCTTGAATTTATTCGCAGGAGAAACGTGTACGGAAATTCTATCCTTACAGAAAAGTT